AGAGATACTGCTAAATGCTTACTCAAGCAATTCCATCAAAATATCCTAGTTTTAAATTGGTGGTATTAGAGTTGGTTCGAGCCTGCTATGCTCTCTCCCTTCCAGTCATGACTGCAATTAATGCTTTGTTGTGTGAGGCACATCTGTGAAATTTTGGAGGCAAATTCCTCTATAGGAGCTGTCATGAAGTACTGGCCTTGTCAGGCATGAGTGTCATGAGCCACACACCTGTCACTGTATCAGTTTTCTTGTATGAAACTTTGGCTTCTTGATTTGGGCGATGAGGATTGTGAACCATTGAAATTTTTTATTGTGATTTGAAAGAAAAGGAATTTGGATGTTAGTTGTGTGTCATGTACAACGATAGAAATCAATCCCAATCAGATTGAACTCCAATTAGGGCTACTGTTGTATAAGGGTAAAATTGTTCATATCATTTCACAGCATAAAACAACCTTAAACACATTTTATTGGTACCTATCTTCTCCCTACAGGTGACAGAGATCCTCTTTGCAGAACATTATAGATTACTATTGATAGCTTGAGGGGGAGTGTTGGAAACGGTTTGTATTTCTAGGGAAGTCTTGTTTAGGATAGCTAAATTGAAGTATTCATGTATAATAGCTTATCATTATCCCAGGAAATTACATTTATGTTTGTGTGTGAAGTATTTTTCGTCATTCTTCCTGCTTTTTTCAGCTTTAGTAGGATTCTTGTTCTTGTGTTGTGTTTTCATAATCTTCCTAAAATACCTTACGAAATGTGTGTATTTTAGTAAATACATAAAGAAACTTCTATTAATATATACATGTTTCTTTCAGTGGGCTGGAAGCAGTGTTTACTATCTTCTAAATTTGTGGTCTAGATCAGTGACATCTGTGCGGTATCTCAAGGGTGACAAACCTAACCTGTTAGATGAATATGTACCTAAAGTTACAGAAGGGTTTGTATCATCAAGATTTGATTCATTGCAGGTCAGCTACTTTAAGACTCCACATTGACCCTCATAAAAACAGAAGCGAATTCAATATTTATTCCACATTTTAACTTCCAATCATCCATTTATTCCAGTCTGAACTATCAGATGAACTTGGTGAAAATCCTCCAGACAATGTTGAAGTTCTTCAAGATCAGCTTGAATTTTTTCCTTTCCTCTGTAGATTCCAGGTTCATGCTTTTTCATGCTTCTCAAAGTATATGAAGAGTTACTTGTTATCTTGGAGTGAATGCTTTTAATTGTTATTAATTATCTACACTTTTAGCATCTATATTGATTCATTAAATTTCAGTATGAAAGTTGCAGTTCGTATCTAATGAAGATAGTGGAGCCTATCATGCAAAACTATATGGTATCTTTAATAGTTCTTCATGAAGTGATTTAACTTTGTTAACTTGTTTCAATAAAATATTCCGATTTGATTTTATACACTTTGTGTAGAAGGAAGCAAATCTCCAAAGCCATGTGGATAGTTTTGAACTCTCTGTAACAGAAACCAAACTGGCTTGGTTCACACACATAGATTTTATCTTATATGCAACATTCCTTAGATTTTATTATAAAGAAAAAAATTAACAAGACGGGAGGCCAAACTAAAACCATCAACAAGAAACTAATAAGACCTAAAAAGGGTAAATGATACTGTCCCTAAGAAGATATAAATTGAGAAAAGAAGGTATTACATCCCATGAATAATCCAACAAACATATTATGCCTTGTGACACAACTAAATCTGCTCACCTCTTATGCATAAATCTGCTCACAATAACTTCAAAGAAATTTCATGGCAAAAACTACCTATCTTGGACAGATTTTGGGAAGCATGGTTCCTTGGTCAGGAACCATTTAGAGAAAGATTTAACTGAAGCGCGATCAGATAGTCAAGAGCAGTGGAAAAGGTTTAATGAATCTTTTGATAATGGTATCTACTCGAAGAAGAGGAGGCTATGGAATCCTTGGAGATGTCATGGTAGAAGTGGCTGCTCTCAACGTTCATATTGTAAAAGGATGGGACATATTAAAGAAATGATTTTGAAATTCTCTACGTTGTCTCTAACCGAATGTTTTATAAGAGAACTAAACACATAATCAATTGCGTTTTTGTGAGCAAGAAGTTGTTGTCCAAGGATATCTTTCAGCTCAAATAACCAACTTGTGAGAGAGAAGCTGCTTTTGTCCAAGGATCATACAATTGTGTGTGTTTGTTACAAAACTGGTTTTTAAGGTGAGGATTGCACCTCATTTATATACTATAACTTGACTACATCTTTAGTCAATGTGGGATGTTCAATACTAGTGTTATAATTTTTAATATTCCTTTTATCCTAGACAAGACATTGTTGACATCTTTGGAAAACAAAGATAAAAAATATATTGGGCTACCCTTATAAGCATAAGTTTTTTTTTTTTTTTTTCACAACTACATCTAATTCAATTATTTTAGAAAACCCACATCGATTGAAGGTATTACTAACTTATAACATATAATTGAGGTGTAAATCTTACCTTACAAGCTGATTTTGTAGGATTGAGTTGGACACCTCTCCATTTTTGTATGATATTAGAGTTTATCCTAACAAGACTTGTTGGCCTATTACTCTACCTACTATCAAATCATCCTTAATATTCTGTTCAACGCTCTTCAGATGTTTTATTCCTCGATGTGAGTGGTATGTTGGAAATCCTACATCGACTAGAGATATCACCAACTTATTGTTGGGTATTTGAAGGGTTATGTGTATATGTATTTCGATATATCATGTGTGTGTTTCTATTCATGTACTCTATGTATATATAGAGTAAAAAATTACAAAATATTAAATATTCATAATATCTCAATCATAATGACCTAAATCGAATAATAACCTAATGTCTTTTTACCTTCTCTCTTAAAAGATAATAAAATCTCTTAATACCTAATTTAAATAAAAGATAATAAAGTAATATTTCCAACATTCCTCCTTACTTTAATATCTATTTATTTGAATTTGATATATTTTTTCTCCTTTTTTGTTTATACTTCTTGATATCTTCTTTCTTGTATGAAATCACATCTTCATTCTTCATTTTCTTCATCAACATATTTCTTCCTTTATCAATTTCATCTTCTTTGTTTCTTTCAAACTTCATGGTAGTACTTGTTGACTCTTTGATGGACGTTGAAAACGGTTTCTTCATCTACATCTTTATTTTCCTCCTTAACATCAAATTCCTTCAAGAAATCTTCTTCATGCTTTTTCTTTGACTTTTCTTTTATATCTTCATTTGTAATTACCTCTTCTTTCATCAAATCTAAAGTGAAACTTTTTCCTTTCATGTGAACTTTGATTATTTCTAAGTTATTTGTATCTTTAATCACACAAAGTTTGTGTTCAAAAGACACCTTATAACTTTTCTCCAATAATTGAGCAACACTTAACAAATTATGATTTATATCAGGAACATATAAAACATCGATAATCAATTTGATACCCGAATGACTTTTAATTGCAATTGTTCCTGTACCTTTCACATTCATTTCTTCTCCATTACCAATTCTCACTTTAGAAATATGTGATTCGTTGAGCTCTTTGAAAAATTCTCGATCATGAGTCATGTGGTTTGTACAACCACTGTCTATTAACCAACCTGTGAATTTGTTGATTGTAGAGCATGTTGATGCAAGGAGAAGTACCTCTTCTTCTCTATCCTCTATAACTTGAACGACTTCCTCTGGTTGTGATTTGCATATCTTTTCTATATGTCCCAATTGACCACATTTGTGACATTTCACATCGAGTCTCCACCAACACTTGTTGGGTGTGTGATTATTTTTCTTGCAATAAGGACAAACGAGAAAATACTCGTGATTTTGTACCTTTGTTGTTCTTGGCTTGGACAGAACCTCCATCATGATATAATAAAGAACCTTCACTAGCGGCATGATCTCCTCTCATCAATCTTCATTGCTCTTGTGCTTGTAAAGCATGTAACACTTCTGCCAAAGTAATATTAGACAAATCTTTTGTGTTTTCCAATGAAACAATTGATGCTTCATATCTCTCTGGCACAGTTACCAGAATTTTTTCAACTATTCTAGAATCAGAAAATTCTTTGCCTAACAATTTTATTTTGTTAGCAATACCTAACAATTTGTTTGAGTATTCATTAATTGTTTGAGACTCTTGCATCTTTTATATCTCAAATTCCCTTATCAAGTTTAGAACTTTCATACCTCGAATTTTCTCATCTCCTTCATATTGATCTTTCAAATAATTCCAAATTTCTTTGGGTGACTTTAGCGTCATGATTCTGGTGAGGATCATTTGTGAAACACCAGCAAACAGACATGATTTAGCTTTTGCCTTTCTCATTTTTCTTTCTCTGTGAGATTTCATTTGAGCTATAGTGGGATTTTCAGGTAGTGGATCAACAATATAATCTTCTTCTACAGCTTCCCATACATCCAATCCTTCAAGATAGGATTGCATTCTCACAGCCCATAAGTCATAACTTTCGCCACCAAAAACTGGAATAGCGACTTGTGAAAAATTTCTTTCTCCTTCCATTGTGTCAAACCAAAGCTCAGATACCAATTTGTTGGGTATTTGAAGGGTTATGTGTATATGTATTTCTGATATATCATGTGTGTGTTTCTATTCATGTACTCTATGTATATATATAGAGTAAAAATATTACAAAATATTAAATATTCATAATATCTCAATCATAACAACCTAAATCAGAATAATAACCTAATGTCTTTTTACCTTCTCTCTTAAAAGATAATAAAATCTCTTAATACCTAATTTAAATAAAAGATAATAAAGTAATATTTCCAACACTTATAATATATAATTGAGGTGTAAACCTCACTTTACAAGCCAGTTTTACAAGGTTGAGTTAGACCCTTCTTCATTTCTAATAAATTTAATCTTTCAACTCAATATTGTCTAGTTAGTCCTTTTAACCATAGTTCATGAACTAGTTAAGGCCATATCTTGATGAGATTATTTTGCGACATATGAAGCTTGTCGTACCCCCATTAAATTGGGCCTAACAAGTTATGCATTGTACAACAAAGTATGACAATTTATTTATGATTATTGTTATTTCCTACTGATTATTTTACATTCAAATTGATTATTTATTTTGTTTTTTAAATTGTAAGGTTTTGGCTAGATTGGAATCGACACCTGATGCATTGTTCCAATCAGATGCTGTAAAATATGCATTCATTGGGTTGATGCGGGACCTTCGAGGAACAGCAATGGCTACTAATAGGTTGGTAACTAAGACGTCATAACTTTGTTTATTTACAAAGGCCTTGTTCTTTGCTACTAATGTTAGTTTATTTTGATTGTTCTTAATCCCTTGTTATCAGCCGTAGAACATATGGGTTCCTTTTTTATTGGCTTTATCCTGCCCACATGCCTCTTCTTCCGAAAGGCATTACACATTATGCTGATATTCCAGAGGTCTGCTTTTTCTTTCCTTTTAAAGCTTAATTTTTTTCTTGATTTACTTTGAAATTGAAGCAATATTTTTTTTACTATGCTATACAACTAACAATACTCTGATTGTGAATCTTAATGACAATATTGAGATGGAAGCGTGGCTAGAGAAGTTATTCTTTTTAATTTTTTAAATTGATGCTTTTTACTTTGAGCTAAGATAATTTTTTACCTTTTTAAATTAGTTTTGCCTATCATAATTTTGAATATTGTATTGTATTAATTTTGGATATTGATATTGTTAGTTTGCTTTAGAGCTAAGATATTGTATTGTACTTTTTATTGTTAATTCTGAACATGCCAAACTGTCACAAAATTTGACAATATGGTTGTCTTGCTGTGTGTTGTATGGCTACACGGTTGCTGGGGATTGTTAAGGTTCCAACATAAAACCAATTGACAATATGTGGAGTAGCCTAACATGTATTTAAACCATACCAATGACATGAGGCAGGCGATGTAGGACTGACTTCCAACATGCCCCCTCCAACAAAGCCTGCCAGACCAGGCAAAGGGTACTTTGACCCACAATGAAAGGGCAACTCTTAGCCTAAGATAATAACCGAAAAGATGTTAGACTTTGGTTCTGATACCATGTTAAAATTCCAACATAAAACCAATTGACAATATGTGGAATAGCCTAACATGTATTTAAACCATACCAAATAACATGAGGCAGGCGACGTGAGACTTCCAACAGGGATCAGCCACTGCTATGACACTGTGCAGGATTAGGAACTATAGAAGAGAGTCAAATGGGGTGACCTTTAATCTTTGCATCTGAGTCCACATATTGGGATAAGGGTTGGTTATGGTTTTAATTTTATTTGTGGTGAATTTCTTAATGATGGAGGAAATTTCTTCACTGATAAAATAAAAATATTGCGCTGGAAAATTTGACATTCCTGAAACGATTAGAAGTACATATTAAATAATTAACAAATCCTCTTCCATGTGTTAACTTTTGAAGAGAGCATCCAATTTCACGTTAAAACTGTTACATAGAGATCCAACTACCTGGTTCTGAAGGGAATAAGTCCCTCAACTTTTGTTACAATAACTTTTTTGATGTACCTCATTCCCTCTCAATAACAAATGTTCGGCTAATTTTACCCCTGTGAAAAGTAGGTATTATAAAATTAATGTCTAAAGAGCTTATCTTGTACATCTTGTGTAACTGTTGCATATTCCCCTCCATTGCATAATAGAGATAGTTATCATTGTTTGTCACACATTTGATTTCAGAAGCATGATGCAGGTAACAACTCCATTATTGAAATTCATGGCTGAACTAGTACTGAATAAGACCCAGCGATTGAATTTTGAATATTCTTCGCCAAATGGGATACTTCTTTTCCGAGAAGTTAGTAAATTGATTGTTGCTTATGGATCAAGAATTTTAACTCTTCCTAACAAAGCGGACATGTACACGTCCAAATACAAGGGGATATCAATTTGTTTGCTAATTCTTACTCGAGGTACGCATATTTTGTGGAACATTGCCATAGCTCACTGTCAATGCTATTCTTTTGACATGTAAAATGTAGTGGAAGGGACTGCTCTGTTGGGAGCATTCAAGTTATTGAGGTTTTGATCTATATAACACTTAGTCAGTAGATTTAAACCCCACATGTTTAAAAATACATTTTGGTGCCACCACCTTCCAATCCGATTTTCACTACTATCCTATTATATTCTGAATATAATATTTTCTCAAGTTTCACTTGGTTAAATGGTTTTTTATTTACCCCTCTTAGTAATTTTGTCACATTTTATGTGCAATTTTATATCAGCAGTATGAAATTTATTTGTAAGTATGTCTGAATTGTTAAAGGTAATAGAAGTGAAATGATAAATTGTCGGACCATTTTTATTTATTTTAGAGGTTGTTTTCACCGTAATTTGTCTCTTCACTAACACTTCCAGTTATTTACAGCACTGTGTATTATCTGTTTTCCCTTTTCGGGTTTATAAAGCAAAAAATAATCGAGTGAACATATTATGTTATGGTATCATATAATTTTCATTGCCAATGGGTTTATTTTAGTTGTTTTCTTTTTTCTGGCAGCAATGTCTGGGAGCTTTGTCAACTTTGGAATTTTTGAACTTTATGGTGTGATAGAGCGCTTGTTGATGCTCTTGATATCACTGTTAAGATGATATTATCAATTCCTTTGGCCGATATATTTGCATTTCGGAAGGTGCAACTCTACATTTACTCTGTATGTTCTCCAATATGCTGGTTAACAATATAAGTGCTTTCCTCTGGTTTATCCATGTTGTCCGTTGTAAATTGTAATATATCTGTAAATACGCACACATAGTAGGTAAACCTTGCATGTAATATTTGCATTTCTCTACTTAACTGTTTAAATTTAATTATTTGGTAATGACTATGCAAGAAAATTTGTATTACTATTTGGTATATTTGTGTATGTGTATGTGTTTTGTCTTTGGCTTCGTGTTTTTGTTTGATTGTTTTTGTGTTTGTGTGTATTTGTGTATGTTGATGTGTATGTGTTTTTCTGTCTTTTTGTTTTTTTTGTGTTTGTGTACGTGTTTGTCTTTATGTTTCCGTGTGTTGTGTTTTTGTTTGTGTATGTATTTGTCTTTCCATTTGTGTTTGCGTGTTTTTTCATGTTTGTGTTTGTGTTTGTGTTTTGGTTTGGTTTGGTTTTGTGTTTTTGTTTTTGTTTTTGTTTTTGTTTGTGCTTGTGTTTGTGTTTGCTTGTTTGTGTGTGTTTGTATTCGTGTGTTGTTTGTGTGTGTTTGTAATTGTCTTTGTGTTTGTGTTTGTGTTTTTCATTGTGTTCTCTTTCTAGCAGCACTCATGATGCAAACATGTGTGTGCTGAAGGTAAGTCTGCCACACATCCTTTTCATTTTTCTTATGCAGGACCAAGTGTACATCCTATTACAGGTATGATCCTATTCTACCAATAATTTATTAATGTGTTACACTTCCACTATCATCCTATTGTGTTTGTCTTTTTGTTTGTTTTTGTGTTTGTATTTGTGTTTGTGTTTGTGTTTGTGTTTCTGTTTGTGTGTTTGTGTTTGTATTTGTGTTTCTGTTTTTCTTTGCTTGTTTGTGTGTGTTTGTTTTCGTGTTTTTATTTGTATTTGTGTATGTGTATATGTTTTTTGTGTTTGTGTTTGTGCACGAGTTTGTGTTTGTGTTTGTGCACAAGTTTGTGTTTGTGTTTGTGTTTGCGTGTGTTGTGTTTTTTTTGCTTGTTTTGTCTTTGGCTTCGTGTTTTTGTTTGATTGTTTTTGTGTTTGTGTGTATTTGTGTATGTTGATGTGTATGTGTTTTTTTGTCTTTTTGTTTTTTTGTGTTTGTGTACGTGTTTGTCTTTATGTTTCCGTGTGTTGTGTTTTTGTTTGTGTATGTATTTGTCTTTCCATTTGTGTTTGCGTGTTTTTTCATGTTTGTGTTTTGTTTTGGTTTGGTTTTGTGTTTTTGTTTTTTTTGTTTTTGTTTGTGCTTGTGTTTGTGCTTGTGCTTGTGTTTGCTTGTTTGTGTGTGTTTGTATTCGTGTGTTGTTTGTGTGTGTTTGTAATTGTCTTTGTGTTTGTGTTTGTGTTTTTCATTGTGTTCTCTTTCTAGCAGCACTCATGATGCAAACATGTGTGTGCTGAAGGTAAGTCTGCCACACATCCTTTTCATTTTTCTTATGCAGGACCAAGTGTACATCCTATTACAGGTATGATCCTATTCTACCAATAATTTATTAATGTGTTACACTTCCACTATCATCCTATTGTGTTTGTCTTTTTGTTTGTTTTTGTGTTTGTATTTGTGTTTGTGTTTGTGTTTGTGTTTCTGTTTGTGTGTTTGTGTTTGTATTTGTGTTTCTGTTTTTCTTTGCTTGTTTGTGTGTGTTTGTTTTCGTGTTTTTATTTGTATTTGTGTATGTGTATATGTTTTTTGTGTTTGTGTTTGTGCACGAGTTTGTGTTTGTGTTTGTGCACAAGTTTGTGTTTGTGTTTGTGTTTGCGTGTGTTGTGTTTTTTTTGCTTGTTTTGTCTTTGGCTTCGTGTTTTTGTTTGATTGTTTTTGTGTTTGTGTGTATTTGTGTATGTTGATGTGTATGTGTTTTTTTGTCTTTTTGTTTTTTTGTGTTTGTGTACGTGTTTGTCTTTATGTTTCCGTGTGTTGTGTTTTTGTTTGTGTATGTATTTGTCTTTCCATTTGTGTTTGCGTGTTTTTTCATGTTTGTGTTTGTGTTTTGGTTTGGTTTGGTTTTGTGTTTTTGTTTTTGTTTTTGTTTTTGTTTGTGCTTGTGTTTGTGCTTGTGTTTGTGTTTGCTTGTTTGTGTGTGTTTGTATTCGTGTGTTGTTTGTGTGTGTTTGTAATTGTCTTTGTGTTTGTGTTTGTGTTTTTCATTGTGTTCTCTTTCTAGCAGCACTCATGATGCAAACATGTGTGTGCTGAAGGTAAGTCTGCCACACATCCTTTTCATTTTTCTTATGCAGGACCAAGTGTACATCCTATTACAGGTATGATCCTATTCTACCAATAATTTATTAATGTGTTACACTTCCACTATCATCCTATTGTGTTTGTCTTTTTGTTTGTTTTTGTGTTTGTATTTGTGTTTGTGTTTGTGTTTGTGTTTGTTTGTGTTTTGTGTTTGTATTTGTGTTTCTGTTTTTCTTTGCTTGTTTGTGTGTGTTTGTTTTCGTGTTTTTATTTGTATTTGTGTATGTGTATATGTTTTTTGTGTTTGTGTTTGTGCACGAGTTTGTGTTTGTGTTTGTGCACAAGTTTGTGTTTGTGTTTGTGTTTGCGTGTGTTGTGTTTTTTTTGCTTGTTTTGTCTTTGGCTTCGTGTTTTTGTTTGATTGTTTTTGTGTTTGTGTGTATTTGTGTATGTTGATGTGTATGTGTTTTTTTGTCTTTTTGTTTTTTTTGTGTTTGTGTACGTGTTTGTCTTTATGTTTCCGTGTGTTGTGTTTTTGTTTGTGTATGTATTTGTCTTTCCATTTGTGTTTGCGTGTTTTTTCATGTTTGTGTTTGTGTTTGTGTTTTGGTTTGGTTTGGTTTTGTGTTTTTGTTTTTGTTTTTGTTTGTGCTTGTGTTTGTGCTTGTGTTTGTGTTTGCTTGTTTGTGTGTGTTTGTATTCGTGTGTTGTTTGTGTGTGTTTGTAATTGTCTTTGTGTTTGTGTTTGTGTTTTTCATTGTGTTCTCTTTCTAGCAGCACTCATGATGCAAACATGTGTGTGCTGAAGGTAAGTCTGCCACACATCCTTTTCATTTTTCTTATGCAGGACCAAGTGTACATCCTATTACAGGTATGATCCTATTCTACCAATAATTTATTAATGTGTTACACTTCCACTATCATCCTATTGTGTTTGTCTTTTTGTTTGTTTTTGTGTTTGTATTTGTGTTTGTGTTTGTGTTTGTGTTTCTGTTTGTGTGTTTGTGTTTGTGTTTGTGTTTGTTTTTTTTCTTTGCTTGTTTGTGTGTGTTTGTTTTCGTGTTTTTATTTGTATTTGTGTATGTGTATATGTTTTTTGTGTTTGTGTTTGTGCACGAGTTTGTGTTTGTGTTTGTGCACAAGTTTGTGTTTGTGTTTGTGTTTGCGTGTGTTGTGTTTTTTTTTGCTTGTTTTGTCTTTGGCTTCGTGTTTTTGTTTGATTGTTTTTGTGTTTGTGTGTATTTGTGTATGTTGATGTGTATGTGTTTTTTTGTCTTTTTGTTTTTTTTGTGTTTGTGTACGTGTTTGTCTTTATGTTTCCGTGTGTTGTGTTTTTGTTTGTGTATGTATTTGTCTTTCCATTTGTGTTTGCGTGTTTTTTCATGTTTGTGTTTTTGTTTTGGTTTGGTTTTGTTTTTTTTGTTTTTGTTTTTGTTTTTGTTTGTGCTTGTGTTTGTGCTTGTGTTTGTGTTTGCTTGTTTGTGTGTGTTTGTATTCGTGTGTTGTTTGTGTGTGTTTGTAATTGTCTTTGTGTTTGTGTTTGTGTTTTTCATTGTGTTCTCTTTCTAGCAGCACTCATGATGCAAACATGTGTGTGCTGAAGGTAAGTCTGCCACACATCCTTTTCATTTTTCTTATGCAGGACCAAGTGTACATCCTATTACAGGTATGATCCTATTCTACCAATAATTTATTAATGTGTTACACTTCCACTATCATCCTATTGTGTTTGTCTTTTTGTTTGTTTTTGTGTTTGTATTTGTGTTTGTGTTTGTGTTTGTGTTTGTGTTTGTGTGTTTGTGTTTGTATTTGTGTTTCTGTTTTTCTTTGCTTGTTTGTGTGTGTTTGTTTTCGTGTTTTTATTTGTATTTGTGTATGTGTATATGTTTTTTGTGTTTGTGTTTGTGCACGAGTTTGTGTTTGTGTTTGTGCACAAGTTTGTGTTTGTGTTTGTGTTTGCGTGTGTTGTGTTTTTTTTGCTTGTTTTGTCTTTGGCTTCGTGTTTTTGTTTGATTGTTTTTGTGTTTGTGTGTATTTGTGTATGTTGATGTGTATGTGTTTTTTTGTCTTTTTGTTTTTTTTTGTGTTTGTGTACGTGTTTGTCTTTATGTTTCCGTGTGTTGTGTTTTTGTTTGTGTATGTATTTGTCTTTCCATTTGTGTTTGCGTGTTTTTTCATGTTTGTGTTTGTGTTTGTGTTTTGGTTTGGTTTGGTTTGTGTTTTTGTTTTTGTTTTTGTTTTGTGTTTGTGTTTGTGTTTGTGTTTGCTTTGTGTGTGTTTGTATTCGTGTGTTGTTTGTGTGTGTTTGTAATTGTCTTTGTGTTTGTGTTTGTGTTTTTCATTGTGTTCTCTTTCTAGCAGCACTCATGATGCAAACATGTGTGTGCTGAAGGTAAGTCTGCCACACATCCTTTTCATTTTTCTTATGCAGGACCAAGTGTACATCCTATTACAGGTATGATCCTATTCTACCAATAATTTATTAATGTGTTACACTTCCACTATCATCCTATTGTGTTTGTCTTTTTGTTTGTTTTTGTGTTTGTATTTGTGTTTGTGTTTGTGTTTGTGTTTGTGTTTGTGTGTTTGTGTTTGTATTTGTGTTTCTGTTTTTCTTTGCTTGTTTGTGTGTGTTTGTTTTCGTGTTTTTATTTGTATTTGTGTATGTGTATGTGTTTTTTGTGTTTGTGTTTGTGCACGAGTTTGTGTTTGTGTTTGTGCACAAGTTTGTGTTTGTGTTTGTGTTTGCGTGTGTTGTGTTTTTTTTGCTTGTTTTGTCTTTGGCTTCGTGTTTTTGTTTGATTGTTTTTGTGTTTGTGTGTATTTGTGTATGTTGATGTGTATGTGTTTTTTTGTCTTTTTGTTTTTTTTTGTTTGTGTACGTGTTTGTCTTTATGTTTCCGTGTGTTGTGTTTTTGTTTGTGTATGTATTTGTCTTTCCATTTGTGTTTGCGTGTTTTTTCATGTTTGTGTTTGTGTTTTGGTTTGGTTTGGTTTTGTGTTTTTGTTTTTGTTTTTGTTTGTGCTTGTGTTTGTGCTTGTGTTTGTGTTTGCTTGTTTGTGTGTGTTTGTATTCGTGTGTTGTTTGTGTGTGTTTGTAATTGTCTTTGTGTTTGTGTTTGTGTTTTTCATTGTGTTCTCTTTCTAGCAGCACTCATGATGCAAACATGTGTGTGCTGAAGGTAAGTCTGCCACACATCCTTTTCATTTTTCTTATGCAGGACCAAGTGTACATCCTATTACAGGTATGATCCTATTCTACCAATAATTTATTAATGTGTTACACTTCCACTATCATCCTATTGTGTTTGTCTTTTTGTTTGTTTTTGTGTTTGTATTTGTGTTTGTGTTTGTGTTTGTGTTTGTGTTTGTGTTTTGTGTTTGTATTTGTGTTTCTGTTTTTCTTTGC